TTTTGAGAATTTCACACATGAGTATGGTCTTTACCTGATTTCCACCCCTCCCAGTCCCCCTCCAATTTCTCCCATCTCCTCCCAACTTCCTCACAATTTTTGTCCTCTTCTTTGATTATTATTGTTACATATACATACATACATACATTGATAAATTACATATATATAATACACTGTGTCCATTTAGTGGTGTTTGTGTATACCCATGTTTACAGCCACTTATTTGGGATTAGACAACCTCTCAGGGAGGTGGGTCCCTGGAGAAAACTGATTCTTCCTCAGCATCCACTGATTGCCTGCAGACCAGAAAAAAATTCCCCATCTGTCTTGGCATGTCAACACCTCTTTTAATATATATCCTTTCTACCCATTCTATTTCTCTAGAGAACCTTGACTAATACCCTTGCCTATTAAGGGAGGAATTGTGTCTCCCAAGCACAGCATGTAGCATCGAATTGCCTTCCTCCCATCTGCACACAGACCTATCACAGTATCTCCCTTCCTCAACCAAAGAGTCCTTGATCTCCCTTGCTTCTAGGGATGGCTGTACTGCATCCCTCCCCTATGGCGACTCAATGAAGTGCTGTCTGTACTCACGCCCCATATATCGCTCCCAGGTCCTCCTGAATGTAGTTGGGCTTTGGACCCAGTTCCCCACCAAAGCAGCCAAGCAGCAAGGTCATCCATCATTTCTACCTGGGAGCAGCCAATGGGCAATTCCAGTCCTCATCTCCCACGACATATCAGCACTCCCTGGGTTGGTTCATTAAAATACTTTCTTTACTCTGCTTCTGAGACACGACTCATCTACAATTTTCTTCCTGCCTCACGGGCTGCTCCTTGTTCCTGTCTCCTTCACTGGTCCTCTCCATCTACCAGAGCTTGAAGCACCACAGGTCCCCAGGCTCAGTCTCAGACCTTTATTCTCCAGGTACATCCCCATGCATTCACTTCTCTATGTGATCTTGCCATACTGACTTAAACAGCATTTATGTACTGAACTCTCAACTTCTCATTCCTATCAGGGGATCCCCTCTGGTAGGATTTCAGATTTCATACATCCAACTTGTACATGAAAAGGCACATGGATAAATTAAGGGTATCTCAATCTAGTGCAAAATTAATCTCCCAGAACCTCAGGATGTAGCTCAGTAGTACAGCACTTACCTAATATGTATCAGGTTCTGGGTTCAATGCCTAGCACCTCACACAGAGAGAAAAATCATCTATAGCAAGCGATGGCGCACATCTGTAATGTCAGCACTGAAGCAGAAGGACTACTGTGAGGTCACAGCCAGCCTGAGCTACACAGTGAGACCCTGTCTCAAAATAAACAGACAAAAAGTAAGCCCACCACGGCTGGGGATGTGAGGCTGCAATTTCGTGTTGTGAGAGCACTTGCCTATAATTTACAAGGCCTGGGTTTGATCCACAGCACCACAAAGGTCAACAGCACAACAAATTAGTTAATCTCCTAATTCCCACAAACCTTTCCCCATATTCTTCTTTGCTTCAATAAACAGAAATTTGAATCTTTGGTCAGATCAGAAATCATGGTGTCATCCTCTCCCTTCTTTCTGTCATATACCAAGGCCATCAGCAAATCTTTGGTTCTATTCTCAAAACATACTCAGAATTCCTCCTCCTGTGAGCACCACCATGCTCCCACGCTAAGCCACCGCCACCTTTATCAGCATCACTATTATCACCTCCTTCCCAGTTTCCATGCTTCTACCTTTTCATCCCTACAGTCCTTTCTTTTGAATGGTAATCTCTGTGACAGTTAAAAACCCATGTACAGCAAGTTACCTTTGCTAAAAAGAGTACAAGGGCTTTCCATCACACTTCAAATCAAAGTCAATGTTTACACTGGCTTACAATGTCCTGCATGATCAAGACACCTCCAGCTCTCTCAGGAACACGAACAAACACTTTAGATGTGAAGCAGTGGTAGTGGGAGGTGGGAAAAGGTGTCATTCAGACCTTCTTTAGAAGAGAAAACCAAGAGAAGCAAGAGACAAGAAGGAAACGTGACAATCTCATATTGCCATCCTTAGCAAAGTCAAAGGAAAGCACTAAGCTCGGACCCATTCATTTAGATGCTAAGTTTAATTAGACAAGGTGGCACACATAATAATTCCTGCTACTTGGGAGGCAGGAGGATCATGAATCTAGTTAAATCGCACCATGAGTTCAAGCCCAACGTGGCCAAAACTTAGCAAGACACTGTCTCAAAACCTTTTTAACCTTTTTAAAGTGATGGGGCTGTAACTCAGTGATAGATCACTTGCCTATATCAGTAAGTCCCTGGGGGTTCAATTCCACAGATTGGAAAAAGTGAGAAGTAAGTTAAGCTTATCTTAAAAAAAATGAAAAAACATATACTTAATGGACAAACTCATTAAGACTTTAAATAAAACACTAAGCTCTATAACACTGTTCTTCAAATCACTTAGAAGCCCTCACTTGGAATAACTAATAAACTACTCAGAAATGATAACTTGTTTGCCAAAAGAACTCACCTTAACTTGATAATACTGCTGAACAGAGCTGGGACCAGCTAACCTCTGCCAGCTTCTCACAACTAACTGAAATAACGTGTCTATCTCCAGTCACCACATCCTCCACTGTTTCAGGTCATTTTCCAGAAGGGCCTATCTTGCCACTAAGTGGGCCCCCCAGCACCCCAGTGACAGTGGAGGATCCCATGTCCCTAAAGATTACCTGTGTTTATCCTGGTCCCCTCTCCTTTCTCACCTGCATTGTAAAAGCTTCATGCACTGCCCTCCAGAGGCAACACACCTAGACATCGTAAAACCACACTTCTTTAGCCAATAGCTGGGATTTGGATTTTTCACTAAGTCATATTCTTTTTCTCCATAATAATTCCAGGTTGACATTCCTGCGATTTAACCACAGTTCTTCCTGGAGTTCCTCCTTCTTTCTGCAGCTTGAGCTTCTGACTGTCAGTGAATTAGAGGGTCCCAGGAAGTTAGGCAGAGACCTCCAGAAAAGTAAGGAATTCTCAGTCTTTCCCTATGAACACCAGTGCTGTTGGCTCTGCTCTCCTGGGCTGTAACCTCTTTTTTTCCCCGAGTGACAGCCTTCACCACCATTAATTCAACCATCTGCTGCTCCTCTCCAAATTTCTTCCTCTCTGCTCTCATAAATTGCCTCTTATATTCTTGTCGTACTGCCCTGCTCTTAAGTTACACCTCTGTCTCAAGAATGCCAGTGCTTCTAAAACCCATTATTCCTGGGGTAAAAAACTCAGGCCATTTCTTCCAGTAAGTGGGTTTCGTCCTAATTTTCTACATAAGGACAACTATTTAACTGCTCACCCCCAAACTGGGCACTGGCTTTATCTGACAACAGAGTCAGGATCCTGATCATTCAAACCTGCATTCCCTGATGGGGCAAATGCACTTAAAAATGAACCACATCCTTCATTCAATTATTCACTCACTCACTCATTCGCCAACATAGAGCAAAGAGACACCATCATAGCAGATAAAAAGGTATGTGAGATGTGTCCTCTGTCCTTAAGAAACTTACCCAAATTTCATGTGGAACCAAAAGTAGTGCCACACAGGGTCTGAATGTGTATGAAACAGAACAGTTCATTCCACACAGTGGTTATTAATAGAAATCAAGCACAGCCAGCAATGAGTGCTTCAGTCTCTTCAGCTCAAACGGTTCAGTTCCCATGACTTAAATGTCCTATATTGATAGAAACTATTACTGAATTTTAGTACAATAAATAGAGCATATTTGCCCAGATTTTTGTTTGTTTCTGCAGACAGGGGCACTTGCCCAGCTTTTTAAGATTTTATTCCAAATGTGAAAATCAAGTCATGGTTCTGATTCCCATTCTCTAAACAACTGCCTTGCAAAAAGAATTCTTCTAGGGGCAGGGGAGATGGTTCAGTGGGCAAAAGTGCTCTACCCTGCCACAGCCTGAAGACCTGAGTTCAATCCCTGGAACCTGTGTAAAAGTGAAAGGAGAGGATCAACTCCAAGTTGTCTTCTTACCCCTATACACACATTGTAGCACACACACACACACACACACACACACACAGTATTGTAATAATAATAATAATAATAAAAGCTCTGCCCTCCACATCACTCATGACTGCTCTGATCCCTTTCAGCTCCCACTCTTTGCTTCTCAATTTCCTAAATCAAAAGATGATACTTAAATATAAGCTTAAAATCAGGCTCTGGAAACACAGCCAGAAAAGACCTGCCTATCATCCTAGCCTAAATGTTAGGGAGAAGGTTAAAACTGAAGTTGAAGAATCGTGCATTTCAAAGTGCTCGGCTTCATTAAACAGCCATTCTTTACTCCAAAGCCATTGTTTATTTGCATTGCTACTGCATAAACTCTGAGATCTACTGTATTAAAAATGTTTTATTATATTATTTTTCCCTCAAAAGATAAATTTTAAGACAAGAATCTTTGGGAAACAAGTACTTCACAAAAAATTATCTAGACCTAAATCACATTCAAAGTACACCTGGGAGATGGGGTATCTTCCCAGAGCTCTTGTTCAGCTAAGGCTCTCTGGAGTTTGATCCCCAACTCTGGAAAAAAAAAAGTACCTGGTATTTCATATTGTCCCTCAAGAAAATAACATTTTGCCAGACATGATGGCACATGCCTTTAATTCCAGAACTCAGGAAGTAGAGGCAGGTGGCAAATCTCTGTGAGTTCGAGGCTAGTCTGGTCTACATAGTGAGACCCTGTCTCACTGGGGCTACAGGGAGACCCTATCTCAAAAAGGCCAAAAAAATTATCCAGGAAAGAAAAACCACTGTATTAAGAATAAAGTAAAGCAAAATCGATCCACTGTTCAGTACTTTAAAGGACGTTTATCTCTGTGCTCTACAGCATAAACTTCCCGATAGCTTCTAAGAGCTAAGCCCACAGGCAGGGCTACTGCTCTCTTCTGGGTACCACCATCCCACTCCCAAAGACGCCCACCACAGACACCTACCACTTGCTTTAGCTTCTGAGTAGGAGGGGCCATCCTCGAAAGTGAAGATCTGGGACATGCTCTGGCCCAGGTAGGAGGGGGGCCCGTAGTAAGAATGCATCCTGTACTGGGAGCTCACAGGATGGCGGCTCTCCACATTTTTCATCTGCTTAAGAAAAATTAAAAAACACTTTTGTTATGATTTGAATATAAAATGTAAATGTCCCCCATAGGGTCTTGTGTCCAAAACTCAGTCCCACCTGATGGCACTAATTGGGGAAGTGCTGAGTTCAGCCTTACCACAGCCCAGAAACAACAGTCAGCCAGCTGGTCAACTATAGCCCAAATTAAGTACTTCCTTTATTGACTTTTTTTTCCTCAAGGTTTTACAGCAACAAATACACACACACACACACACACACACACACAGTGAGACCAAAATTGCACTTTGCAATTTTTTGTTGGTTGGGTTTCTTTTTTAGACAGTCTCCTTCTAGTCCCAGCTGACCTGGAACTCACTACGTAAACCAGGCTGGCCCTGGCCTCGATTTCACAGAGATTCACTTGTGCATGCCTTTCCAGTGCTAGGATTAAAGGTGTGTGCCACCGCACCCTGCACATTTTACAATCTTCACAAGAAATAACAGAACTGTAATCTTTTAGTTGTGTTTTCTATTTTAAGAGTTCTTCAAAAGCACCTCTAAAAAATTCCCTCTGGTTATGATTCAATGAACAAGTACCAGAGCGTACAGGGTAGTAAAGGGAGAGAGGTGCTTAAGATCCAATGCAGTCTGTACAAGGATGCCTCACATGTTGACCCGAGTAACTGTTGCATCTCTTCCCGTTTCCTCGCATGTAAAGCTGGCATCTGACCACAGTTATTCGATGCTGTTCATTTAAGAGTATTTTCAAGACTGTGAAAAAACAACACACAGCGCAGCACATGGGCCTGTGTAAACTGTCATCATCACTGCAATGCGAGCTGACTTATGCCATTCAGCATTCATTCCCAACTCCTATTTCCACATAGCTTCCTGACCTCTCATTCAAGGCTCGGGAGTATGACCCAGCAGCTTTGTAGGACCCCCAACTTCATCCTTCCCAGACCTTCTGATGATTATCAATGAACTGCTTCCAAGATCAATGCAGGATTGCTGTCTCCTGACTGGACCCCAACACAGACTGAGCATTTCCCTCATGAGCTATCTTCCTGGTAAATACAGCTGGACTTCAAGCATTTGATGCTAACTGCAAAAAATTATATTTGGTGGGATATTTTATTTTGGTGAAGTGCTAGAGATCAAACAACCCATGGCCTCACACATACTTTCTAGCACTGAGCTATAGCCCCATAGTCTTATGGATGATATTCACTTTAGAATAAAAGCCGTTCTAAGGGGAAATGTTTAAGACTAGTTAACAAAGATCAGAATTAAGGCGTGACTTCCAAGTCATGTGGGTTTTTTGTTTTTGTTTTTTTGGTGTACATGTATGTGTGATGTGCATGAATATTCCTGTTCTCACGTGTGTGGGCATAAATGTGAGCGTAAGCATGCAGAGGTCAGAGGCCAACATTGGGTGTCTTTCTTTGCAATTTTCCACTTTATTTACTGAGAAAAGGTGCCTAGAGCTCCCTGATTCGGGAGGTCTAGCTTGTTCAGGGATCCTGTTTTCACTCAGAGCACTGGGATTACAGACTGGCCCCAGAATCCAAGGTGCTGGAGATCCAAACTCTATTCTCATGCTTGCACAGCAGGACGTTTTATCCAACAAGCTATCTTCCCAGTCTTCCACATTAATTTTTTGATCACATGATTTTCTTTCTTTTTTTTAGTTTTATGATTTTTATAAAACATATTTAATTTTTATTTCATGTGTATAAGTATATTGCCTGCATGTAAGTGCACCCATGTTGTGCAATGCCCTCAGAGGTCAGAAGAGGGCATCAGAATCCCTGTAACTGGAGTTACAGCTGGTTGTTAACCACCATGGGGATGCTGGGGATTGTGAACCTGGGTCCTCTGCAAGAGCAGCCAGCGCTCTTAACCGCTGAGCCATCTCTCCAACCCCATCATAAAATGTATTCTGATCATATTTAAATCCCCTACCTTATCTGCACCCCCCTTTCCCCCACCAAATTTTCTGTATTCTAACACACACACACACACACACACACACACACACACACACACACACTATAAAATAGGCTTGTGTCCCCAGTTCCCCTTCGGTGCGGTTCACCCACTGTAGCCTGGTCAACCTACTGAGAGTCCCACCGTTAAAGAGGACAGACTCTCCCCTTCCCAGCAGCCATCAACTGCCAATAGTTCCTCAGGTAGGGTTGAGGGTTCTCACCCACTTCCCCATGTCTGTGCTGGGGTTTTGTCTGGCTTTTTGGGAGTGGATTCATATGAGCAACTGCGCAATTGTTTTAAATACTGCTTCCTTGTGATTAAGTATTTTTGTTAAAGATAGTAAGTACCAACTTGACAGAACCTAATAAGAAAGCCATCCTCCAGACTTCCTATGAGCACCCACATTCTGGACAATTCCCACATAACCCCTGTCCAAGTGCATTTTGAGTATTATGGCATTGCTTGGTAGAAAGGTGAAGTTCCTGATGTCTATATGATACTATAAGATACTTGAAGGATTGGATGTGGTCTTCCCTGCTCTAACGTGTGCTCTGAGGTGGGTTCTCCATGACGAGTGAGGATTTCCCTTCAGGTGAGGTGTACCAGGGCAGGTTGCCTTGATCCTTTCAAGAATATTTTCTCAGAAGCTATATAGTAACGTGCCTTCTAAATTAATTATCCCATTTTAGTTTTCTACTAAGTAAGACGACAAGCAAGCTATATTGGAACATCACCAGAAGGAAAGAACTGGTTTCCACCCTCCAGAGCCCAGGTCAAGAGAGTTCATTGGGGGCGTAAAATCACGTAAGAGGGAAGGGAATCAATGGTAGCAGTTTACCATGCACAATTCATGGCCTAGAATCTGTTTATATGGCGATTCTGATGTGGTGAGTCTTGGCAGGACCTGAGAGTCTGCCAGGTTCCCTAAAGATGCTCAATTTGCTGGTCCCTAAACCCTGCTCTAGTGCTAAGGAATGGGGGGGGGAAATCCTTTTATCGACATATCCACCCTTAAGAGCCAATAAACAAGGAAGAAGCTTATTTTGAGACAGCGTCTCCCTGTAGCCCCAGCTGGCCTGGAACTCACTATTGTAGACCAGGTTGGCCTTGAACTCACAGAGAGCCGCCTGCCTCTGGGATTAAAGATGCAAACCACTACGCCCAGCTGCAAGGGAGGAACTTCTAAATGGACTTTTAGTAACTGTTTCTAGCTATCAAGTTTCCAACAGACCTGGATGAAGACAAGTTATGTAAATAGCAGTGTGTGCTTTACTTTCACTATTTTTCTTTGTCTGTATAATTCCCTAAAAATCATAAGGTTTTTCTAAATTGTGTATATACTTTATTTTCACTATTTTTCTTTTTTTAATCTGTACAATTCCCCAGAGCTCATAAGATTTTTTTTTCTGTTTTTGTTCTTGTTTTGCTTTTGTAGTGTGAGTGTGTGTGTGTGTGTGTGTGTGTGTGTGCATTTTTATGTTTGGTTGTGTGGAGGCACATGCATATGTGTGTGTATGAAGGCCAGAGATTGTCATAAGGAACCTTCCTCAATCACCCTCTACTTTCTATGTTGAGGCACAGTCTCTCATGTGACGCCAGAGCTCACCAATTCAGCTACTCTACCTAGTCAGCTTGCCCCAGGGATCCCTTGTGTGTCTCCTCAGGATTACAGGTGGGCTACAAGGCCTACCCAGTGTTTATGTAGAGGTGCTGAGAACTCTTATCCTCATGCTTCCATGACAAGCACTTTACCCAGAGACCATGACCCCAGCCCTCCTAATATTTTTGAGAGGGCCCTGTTTGCTTCTGGAAGTGCTTCAGCAGTACAGAACTCCAATATCTTTCAAACTAAAGCCACAGACCTCCTACAAGTCAGTTACACAGTCTAAGAAACACACACTAGACTAATTTTGAGGGGCTGGTGACTTTAAGCACAGGGGCCTTAATGTGCACAATGGAGTCTCCCCACTCTGGGTGCTCAGGTGTCACATCTCCCTCAAGTTTGATAATATCTGCAAGTCAGTTCTTCAAGGAAAATGATTTTCAATTTTCCTTGTATACAAAATGACAGGACTTGACAGTGCAAATTCTGCAAACTGCTGAAATTTCTTTCTGTGAAAGCATGTACAATACTTAAATATTTAACAAATGTTCACTAGAAGAGCAGGAGTCAATAAACGTTTTACCATAAATAGTCATATGGTAAATAATTCAGGGTTTGCAAGCCATGGTACCTCTTGGCAACAGCAAATGAATGGGCGTGACTCTATCTCAATAAAACTTAATATGTGGACTGGTTCTCAATCTTGACCGTTACCAGAATGAGGGAAGGAGCAGGTCCGTCACCAAGGCCTTGGATCCACCATTAGAAAATCTAATTTAACTGGACTGGGATGTGGCCTGCACCCTGAGTCTTTCTTAAGATCCACTAGTATTTCTAACATATCACAGAGCTTGAGGCCCAATACATTACCAACATGTATCTATACACCTGAGAACTAAAAGATCCAAGCATTCCGTATATTTTAAAAATACAGAGATCAGTTAGTTGCCGGGCATGGTGGCGCACGCCTGTAGTCCCAGCAGAGGCAGGCAGATCTCTGTGAGTTCAAGGCCAGCCTGGTCTACATAGTGAGTTCCAGGACAGCTGGGGCTACAGGGAGACCCTGCTTCAAAAAGACTAAAATAAAATAAAATAAAATAAAATAATAAAATAAAATAAAACAAAAAAACAGAGATCAAGTCTGACAAATAGTCAACTGTTATCAATCCCATTATGTGTACTACCCAAAAGATGTTCAGCTAATGATAGCATTCTGTTTTTAGAAAATTAAAGTTTACTGGAAAATATGCAAATTTCAAATCATGCATATGTTTATTGTTTCCTGCTCAATCCTATCTTTTTAGAAAGCATCAAAAACAGTGATTATTTGGAACTTGGAATCGAGTTATTTTGCATCCCATCACTCAGTTTCTTCAATGCATACTCAAGATCATTGAGCTATAGTAGATTACCAACCAAAAGAGAAAC